ATGTAATGAGGAACAACTGAAAACAGCTTTATTGCAACTGTACACAGAGATCCTGTTATTACTGTGACTTGCACCTTTCAGCACCTACGTGGTGAGCTCATGTGTATTATCAGCTCCACACCTGGCACAATCCTAACAAACGACTCAGTTCTCAGATATGTTGAAGAGTTAAGTTAGGAAAAACATAACTAACATTCCTATCATGCGGGAAAACATAATTTTATGCTTCCTCAATTAAATGCATAGTTCACAAATATTTTATAGCCTTAGCTGTCAGCAAATCTGTTTTCCTCAGTATGCATAATAGGGCATAAAATTATCTTCAATAACATGAAACAATAACAATCAATTTACAGAAAGATAGAATGATTTACCTTGTCATCACAGGTGAACATTAACAAAAACCAAGGACCGTGGTGATAACTATGATGCGGATGGTTCATAATTATATTCTCATGTAGGAGGAGGCTTCAGCTAACACCATTTTCTTAGAAGGAAAACATCCAATAGCTTAACTCAGTTCGAAATTGTTCAGAACCAACATGAATAAATGCAAGGAATAAAGATGCCCATAGACATGACATATTAGGAAAGGATCATAGTTTTGTGGGCATTCCCTGATCTCCCCAGATGTCCCCTGGCCAACCCTTCTTGGTAGATTTTTCCCTTTAGATTGTTATTGTTCGCCATAGGGATGTCTTTTTTTTTTCTCACTCCTCTCCCCTGCTATGGGCACATGCATACACGCCTGGCCAATCCAAATATAGGTTTATAGAAAGGACATTTTTAAATAAAGTAAGCATTAGCCCATTGCCATGTAAAATTCCCCATGACATGTTTAACCACTTGCCGACCACCCTACAGCAGATAAACTGCTACAGGGCAGCCGTTCTGTGAAAAATCATGTATATATACGTGATTTTGCACTTCCTGGTGGGGGGCACGCTGCTTCTGCTGTGATTAGTCACATCAGAAGCCGATCAACGAGTGTCAGGCAATGGATGAGCTCTGGCACCTGTTGATTGGCATGGACAGTGACAGGACACAGCTCTGCCTATGTAAACAAGGCAGAGCTGTCTCCTGTCAGCGGTGATCTGCTGGATTTTCTTTCCTTGCAAAGCAGGGAATAAAATCAAGCACGTTGCCTAAAATCACCACACTGTGTACACAAAATCACTGCTTAGGCACACAACCCTTTGATCGCTCTAGATGTTTAACCCCTTCCTAGCCAGTGTCATTAATACAGTGATAGTGTATATTTTTAGCACTGATCACTGTATTATGCAGGTCATACATGGGTTGTATTCTGAACTATTTTTAGTCCGAAAATCGAAAACGTCTTTTGCTCGGTAATCCAATCGTGCCATCAATGATTTCGAAAATTCATTGACCAAGTCATAAAGTTCACCCCATACAACAGGCAAAATTCTGTTCCTTCCATATCATGGCTCATGCGCATATTCTTTTCGGAAAAACGATCGTACGATTTGACCATCATTGAGTCGAAAATTGGTCATTTTTCACAAATTTTCCAATATGCCCAATCACCGAAAAGGGGAAGAACCACGAAAATTGGCCAGTGTCATTGACCCACTAACAGAGCGAAAATCGGCCGATTATTCTTAGGTCCGATTTTCGGATGAAAAATCGGTCGAATTTCGTCCCATGTAAGTGTTAGACTTTACACTGCAATATCAAAAGTTCTTCTATAAGTCGCTGGTTGCCACTATTACTGGTATTAAACAAAATCCATATATATATGCCATAGTTTGTAGCTGCTATAGCTTTTGCGCAAACCAATCAATATACGCTTATTGGGATTTTCAATCAGTGAGGGGGGTGAATAGAAAAAAAAACAGATTCCACCATCCACACAAGCGAGGTGGATAGATGAATCCTCCTCACTCTGCTATTGTATTCTGATGACTCTTCTGCTGTCAGAATACATTGATCAGTGCTGCAGCCCATTGGCTGCAGTGTTGATCAAAGGCAAATTTTTCAACCAGCCCTTTTAAAAGTGGTAGCAAAGTCTGTTTTTGTGCTTGTTCCTACAGGTACCTGTAGGTACTGTGAATATCTCCTAAACGTGCACCTTTTAGGAGATATTTACTTGTGTAGCAGCACTGGCGCATCTGCTCTGAGGGAACGGCATGCCCGTACCGTTTATTCAGAGCTGTGTGGCATAAAAAGTGACTCCCACGCGCATGCACAGAAGTGACGTCATTGTGGCTAGGCCATTCAAGCCACTTGAGGCCACAAACCCAGAAGAAGGACTGGGTGAAGATGGAAGCTCTATTAGCGGTGACAGCGCACTTCGTTTTAACCACTTCAAGTCCGGACACTTTCACCCCCTTCCAGTCCAGGCCAATTTTCAGCTTTCAGTGCTATCACACTTTGAATGACAATTGCGCAGTCATGCAACACTGTACCCATATGAATTTTTTAGCATTTTTTTGAGTCAGATAAAACTTTATTTTGGTGGTATTTATCACTGCTGGAATTTTTTTTTTTTTGTTATATAAATGAAAAATTCCAAAAATTGTATAAAAAGAAGTGTTTTTCTTATAAAATTTTGCAAATAAATAATCTTTCTTCATAAATCTTGCCCAAAATGTATTCAGCTATCTTTTTAGTAAAAAAAAAACAGATTAGTTTATAACCAAAAATTATAATTTTTCAAAATTTGTTTTTACATTTTTTTTTAATATTATTATTTATGGTTTTTTTACATACTGTCACCCTAGCAGTACAGTGTCACCATGGTTACACTGTACTACTTGTGGGAGTTGATGAAGATTTTTTTTCTTTTTTTTACACTGGTTGCTTTTGTACCCATAAAGGCTGTAAAAGTAATTATTTCTCCTTCTCTCTGGCTGCATTCTTGCAGCCATTGAGAAATACTATGAGAGCTGTGATTGGTCATAGCTTGTCACATGGTACAAGGCTGTTGTGAATAGCCTTGTACCATGTGACCTCTGTGATCATTCACAGATTTCACACGTAGTAAGCAATAATGTCAGGAAGAGACATCTTGCTTACTTTTATTCATGTGATCACTGATTGGCAAATCAGTGATCACATGTATCGGGACCTCACACAGAGGAGGACACAGATTGCTCCCAAGGAGCGTGAACAGGTAGTGAACGTGCGTGACGTTTAGAAGCATCAACCCGCTTCAGCAGCGCTCCCGTCTGGCCATTTATCTGCATGGGCCGTACGGGAAGTGGTTAAGGTACGTTTCACATGCATACTAGCACATTATGACATTGCCTTACAGGGGGAAAAGTTTTTTTTTTTAACTAGAATGTTTACTATGGCTTTAAGAGAAGGTGATCATTAAAATTACTTCTGTGGAACAGGAATCGCCATAGATGGATACAGGGGCGGACTGACCATTTGGAAACTCGGGCGCTGCCCGAGGGCCCGGGGTCAGTAGGGGGCCCCATGAGATGCCCCTGGTACCTTTTTCATAGGCTTTTTTGAGTTTGGGCAAGGACACAGGGGCTCCATGATCCCCTATTGCCCGGGGGGCCCCATGAGTTGGCAGTCCGCCCCTGGATGGATAGTAATTCAGCAGTTCAGCTGGGACCGGAATCCATCTATGGAAAGCTTTAATCCTTGCAGCAGTTCCCCATTGCCTGGAATTCAGCTTTATTTTGAGACTTTTATCTGTCTGGAGTTTTGGTTTAATTTTACATGAACACAGTCTGAATATTATTATTTGGAAATGATAAGATAAGACATGTTGTATCGTCCTGTTCTACATTTAGGGAGTGAATCTTATCTGACGTATACAGAGCATAGTTTCATGACATTGTATATACATCTTCTCAAAGGTCAGTTAGCAGGTGGTCTCATCCCGCCTTCTGAATGCTTCTCGGAATTCATGCAGTTCCACTGAAACATTGGCTACAATTAGATCTGCCTTCATGGTAGGTTTTCCTGTAAAATCATATAGTATACTGGATATCTTCTCCATCACCTAGTCAGCAGTTTCTGTTACACAGGTAAATGCCATTCTAACAGTATAATGTACATTGCCCATCGGGGTACTTTGGACATCATACACTAAAGGAAACCTGTGCTGCGATTGTCATAGGGGCTGCCATTACTAATCTTTGCTTATGAAAATGCCAGGTTTCTGGCTGTCATGCCTATTCAGTGCCTTCATTAATTTTGAGCTACTGACTATTAACAAGTATGAAACTTAAAAAGGAACTTCAGTTCTGTTTTAAAAAAAATTAAAAGTCAGCAGCTACAAATACTGTAGCTGCTGACTTTTAACACACGGGTACTTACCACCCCAGGAGTCCACAGCTGTCTTCACCGCAGTCAGTTATTTACCGCCATCTTGGACATGGGAGCCAGCAGCAGCAACTTCCTGATATCTCACTGCTGGCTCCCCAATGCACATGTGCAAGATTGCCTGGCACTGTCAGACTGTCACAAAAGTCTCCTGGGATGTGTGTTGTTTTGCCTGGGGGCCCGGCCAAGCTGACCCAATTCTCACTTAGGCAAGAATTGTGGAAGTGGGAGCAATGTCAGAAAAAGGTACCCGTTCGCGCAAAAAACAAAAAACATCTAGTTGGGAGTGGGGAGTGGCTGGAGAGGGAGCGGAACTTTCTCTTTTAGGTGAAGGTCTGCTTTTAATTGCTGGAAGACCTTAGGTTTCCTTTAAAATACAGTAGCTACAAGCATTAAGTGCAATTTCAAGCTTTCTTACCACCTAGCACACTATGTTTTAGTATTACTTGATTAATCAAGGAGAAGAACATTTTGAGGTGTTATTAACATGGTGTTAATGATGTTAAGACTTAGTTCACAAAACAAATCATCCAAGTGAAAGGCTTTTATTTTAATTGGTTATCTTACGTTAAAGTACTGTTAGACCCTAAAACTCCTTAACCGCTTTCCCGCTGCCCTATAGCAGATATACTGCTACAGGGTGGCAGAGGTGCGCAAAATCACATGTATATACGTGATTTTGCATTGCAGGGTACGCCTTGGCTGTCAATCATCGGGTCCCAGCCGGTGATTACTCACCCACACCCTGTGATTGCCGAGTATTACTGATGAAGGGAAAGAACTGTATGTAAACTATACAGTTCTCTCCCCTGTCAGCTCCTGCACACTGCTTTGCATGGCTCTGCATAGCAGAGTCATGCAAAGCAGTGTGCTTACAGTGTAAAGCACTAACACAGCCCGCAGTAAAACAGCACACAGTTAACCCTTTGATCGCCCCACATGTTAATCCCTTCCTTCCCAGTACTATTAGTACAGTGTCAGTGCTTTTTTATTAGCACTGATCACTGTATTGGTATCACTGGGGATGTCAGTGAGAACAAGTCAGTTCCCCCCAGTGTCAGAATGTCCGCAGCAGTCCCGCAGTCCCACTATAAGTCACTGATTGCCGCCATTACTAGTAATAATAAAAAAAAATCCCATTATCTATACCACCATTTGTAAACGCTATAACTTTCACGTAAACCAAAGAATTTACATGTATTGAGATTTTCTTTAGCAAAGACATGTAGCAGAATACATTTTGGCCTAAATTTATGACGAAATTTGATTTTTAATTTTTTTTTTACTGAACATGTTTAATATCAAAAAGTCAAAAATATTGTTTCTCAAAATGATCAGTCCTTTTTTTATAGTGCAAAAAATAAAAAAACGCACAGGCGATCAAATACCACTGAAAGAAAACTATTTGTGGGAAAAAAAGGACATAATTTCATTTAGGCATTGTAAATTATTTGAATGAAGTATTTTAACCAACAAGTGGAGCTCCACTCTGTGATTTCAATGGTATGGATGCATTTCAACTTTGCTAAAAGAAATTTGTATTGTAGAAATGGAGTGAGCCATTCCAATGGTGGCTCTCTTCTTATCAGACAAGAGAGTGATGTTTACATTAGCCAAATTAAGCTGTAATGCCAGCTGCTCTGCTGTTCAGTCTAAAAAGGGAATAAGGGAATTCTGGGAACCCTTTATCACGTGTTAAATGTTTATTTGTAAAACAAACACTGTATATAGAGAGTAAAAAACACTTATTAAACAACAGTTTTAAAACATAAACTAAAAAATAGCACCCTTGAACATCACCTGGTTGGCCAAAATCAAGAAAATTAACTAAATGGAGAATCTGATCATAAGAGAGAAGGCCACTCATAAAAAAATTCCTGGAAAAAAAGGTATTACTGGCATGAATTCTATTCTAGTTCAATAATTTTTTTATTGAGGTTCGCAAGTTTGCAAAAGTTGAATACAAAAAAAAAAAAACAGAACAAAATTGCATCCTTTACAGATACCAATAAAACACATGACTACCAGAAACTAGGAGTCCATAGGAAGCAGAGTCGTAGCAAGAGGACAACAGATCCATCTGAGGTGATCCAGATTCTGCACATTCCAAGGGAAGGCTGTAGGCAGCAAAACCCTTTGGGTATATCAAGGCTCTACTCATCTGCAGTAATAGGGAAGAATAATCAGGGGCATGAATTCTTTTTTTCCAATTAACTTCTGGACGTGATCTAACACCAGCCGCATAGACAGGGGTGTGAATTGTTCTCTGAGACCCAGTGGTGTGGGGAGTGCATTTCTCCCCTACCTTCCCATTGTCCCTATTGTGGATTTTCCACCACCTACCTGGTCCTCATTACTACCCTCCCCCTCTTTTTCCCCGGTCCCCGGTATCAGTTTTAGCTAATGCATTTTAAGAGTGGACCCTCTTCCTCAGAGCACCGATGGAAGAATGGAAATTATTATGGGTGGATTTTATGCAATATACTTATTTGTGGAGTACTTTTGTGAGTATAATGTACTACTATTTAATACAAATTAAATGAAGATATCACGTGATGCTGTGCATTTTTTTTGTTTGTCCTGTAGTTGGAAAGATTCCCAGTCTTGAAAGAACTGCAAAGGGAAGGATTGGAATGAACTTTTATTAGAAGACTCTACAGTAGGGTTGTATCCTTTCTTCACTAAATCACTGTGAGTTTGTGTTTATAAACAGATATTTAATATCTTTTTTTCCACTATATATATATAAAATCTTAGCTCTACTAATAAATATTATTTACATGACAAGGAATTCCCAGAGCATTCTGGTTATCTAATGAGAGAGCACAACAAAACACTGCCTGACTTCAGACTCATTTCTTCCTAAAGAAATTTGAGGTGGAGCTACTCAGAGGGAGGGTAAGAGGTCAGAGAAGTCACCGTTTCTACAGGTTCAATTGTATGTGAAAATTGCTGTTGAACTATTAAGATTTTGAAAACAACAGGATGTGTGGGCAGCACAGTGACTAAGTGGTTAGCCCTTCTTCCTAATGATTTAGTGCGGACTAAGTGTCCGGTGATTATCTGTTCCTGTCCTAATTAATCATGCTAGCTCTGTAGTGCGTGCACTTGAAGAAAAGCCACACTGACACACGAGTTCAGTCTGTGAAAAACTTCTAGTTTATTGGAATGAAAAAGTGATTTTATATATGCAAGATGATGCAAGGGTCACGTGAGAGCAGCATTAGCATTATATTAGTCTTTGGTCATTTTCACACAAAAACAATCTTCCTTCAGAATATAGGCGTGATCTTCTCCTAGCCGTTATCTGGAGAGAAATATTTCCTTTGTTCTTCAAGTTCACTCGATGGGAGGGGTTGCTGAGCAGACATTTTTGAGTAAGAATTTCTTAACACAAGCATGGAAAGTACCACAAAGACCAGCAGGAAAAAAGATATATACACAACACATATATATACATACAAAACATTTAGAAATATAAAAAGTATAAAAGTAGATATGTAAAGAAAAATTATTATAAGTCAATTTTATTTTTAAACTTCCATAGTGATTGTTATTTGATTGCAACTAATTTTGCTAATTTGTTTCAATTATCTGCACAGTTGTGACACATGACTCGATAGGATGAGAACTACAGCTCCCAATGATCATCTAGTGATGACTATGGAGCAGAACAGGTGTAACTAATAGCAGCAATGTGTAATCAGTTTACTTTTTTTTTTTTTTTTTGCTAAATGTATAGGCCTGCAGGTTGTATATTTACTTTATACCTAACTTAAGGAAGATAGGAGATCTTGGTAAGTCAAACACAGGGAGTACTATAAAAATATGTTCACTGTAACCATATGCTATTTATTTGCTCTTTTTAATTTCAATACTCAATTGGCCCGTGGCAAAACAGATGTGAAACCAATTTATGTTTTAAAACAAACAATATAAAGGCAAAAATGCTTTATCTGTATATTCAGAAGCCCACACCCTAAATAGTATGACAACCTGTAGCAGCAAACTAATCCAGGCTTTAACATTGCCCTGCTTCTAAGTGTTGTAGGCAACAAGCTGGCACTGCTTCTAATGCATTTCCATTCAACAGTACTGTAGACCTATCCTCTTCATGTCAGAGTTCTCCTGGAAACACAATCACACTTCTATACTATATGCAGTATATTCATATTAGTAACAATTCTGAACATTCATTTTATACAAGTGACTTGAGATTTGTAAAATGTGTTCAAAACGGTCAGTTCATCTATTAATTTATTTACCATCATCACTGGATTTCCCCGAATTCAGGATGGCTTCACCGCCTACCCTTCCAGTTTGGGTTGTCTGACTTTGACTTTACTCTATGGCAGGGGTGGGAACTGTGGCCCTCCAGCTGTTGTAGAACTACAAGTCCCATGAGGCATTGCAAAACTGACAGTTACAAGCATGACTCCCAAAGGCAGAGGCATGATGGGATTTGTAGTTCACCAACAGCTGGAGGGCCACAGTTGCCCACCCCTGCTCTACGGTATAGGATGGGGCCTCCACCATTTTTGAGTGCTAAAGTGTCAAGTCTTCTGTTCATGCCTTGTTAGAATGCCACTGTTCACACTCTGGATGAAGGAGCACAGGGGGCACATTTGGACAGCAGCATTGTCGGTCTGGGGGCAGGGGCATGTTAGATGTAATAGCAGATTAGGCCTAGGTTCACACTGATGCAGAGTGAGTTGTTTTTGTGATGCAGTGTGAGTTGTTTTTGTGATGCAGTGTGAGTTGAATTTGTTTTGCAGTGAGATTTCAGGAGCAGCTCCAGTGCAAGTTGATACTGGAATCTTCCAGAGTGCACAGAACCCAATTTCCATTCAAGTCTGTGGAGTTACAAATCCATCACAGGACTCTTTTTCAAACCACATCGGATTCGCACTGCATATATGTGAACAGCCTCCACAAATACTCATGTTCTTTCACTTGTCTTGCGATCCCATGCTTTATTAAGCGCATCAGAAATCACATCAGTGTGCACCAGGGCTTAGATACACTAACAAACTGAAGTGAAACCCCAGCTCACACTTTATAAGCAGTTACAGCGTTTTTTTTCCTTTTGGGATAAAGGTTTTACAAAAATAAATAAATATATACATATTGATCATTGTAAGCACCCCTACTAGTGTTAAATGTACTGTACTGATACATTCTGCTAGAGAGCTTGTTCTTTTGAAAAACAACAGACTTATGCTATGTACATACAATAAAATTGAGAGGTTGCTGTACTAAGCGATGCTAGTTCTGCAATATTCCCCACCGCTCCCCCCCTGCCAGAACACACTGATCTGTGTTCACAGACATTGGCTGCCAGCGCTGATCGGATGCTTGTTTTCCAGCATGCCTCCTCAACAGAAGCCAGCGGTTCGACCAACCTCTGTTGAATAGGCTGCTGTAAAAAGTCTTGTTGAACCAGCCGACTCCGGCCCATATTTGGCTTGTGTGTACCAGCCTTTACTAGCTGGATCAATAGACAAAAAAAGAGGAAAGAACGCCTAAAATAGAAAACAATGGCAGCCATCACATATCAGAATTGGTAATCTGCAATATAATAACTGTTTTCTTTTGGTTTAATACAGCTTTAAAACCAAAAGCAAACATTTATGTGGGCAGCACAGTGGCTAAATGGTTAGCACTTCCGCCTGGCAGCACTAGAGTCATTGGATCAAATCCTAACAACAGCACCACCTGCCTGGAGTTTGCATGTTCTCCCTGTGCCTGTATGGGTTTCCTCCAGGCACTCCAGCCTCCTCCCACACTCAAAAGACTGGTAGGTTAATTGAATTCTGTGTCTAAATTGGCCCTAGTATTTGTATGTATGGATGTGAGTTAGGGACCTTAGATTGTACACCCCTTGAGGGTTAAGGACTGATGTGAATTTACAATATATATGTAAAGCGCTGCATAAATTGATGGCACTATATAAGTACCTGTAATAAATGTGATGGCTGTTTTAATTTTCATTTTTAGGCTTTCTTTCCTTTATTTGCACTTGGTGATCCAGCCAATATGTCTGTTATTTTTCAAAAGAACAAGCTGTCTTGCAGATGTAGCAATTACAGGAATGAGATAAA